CCTCCCCTCGACACCCCGCACCAACAGCTGCGCACCCCACACCACAGCACACACACACACACACACCAGGCAAACGCCCACGCACACCAGGCACACACAGGCGCGCCCCCGCAAGCCCCACCTTTGTCATCTGGCTGGCCGAAACCTCCCCCGTCTCGCTCAGCTTGCCCAGCAGCGCCAGCCACGCCTCCTGGCTGGCCGCCTCCATGCCCAGCAGCAGCGCCTGCGGGGCGGTGCACGGGCAGGATCGGTCTGGCGGGTGACAATGGGCGGAGGGGGCGTGCTGGAAGGGTTCGCAAGGCAGAAGGCGTGGCTAGCGCGCCCTCCCTGACTCGCCCCCCTGCCTGCTGCCCGCCGCACCCTTAGCTGCGTGCCTGCTTGCCTCTGGCCCGAGCTGCCTTCCCTGCCAGCCACCCCCTGCCAGCTACCCCCTGGCTTCCACCAACCTGCTTGACGAGCTCGTGGTGGAAGAAAGGGACCGCCAGGTCACGCAGGATGCGCGCCACCTCCTCCTTGTCGCCGCTGGATGCATACTCCTGCAGGCAGGCAGGCAGGCGGGCACACAGAGGCACACACATACACGGTGCATGTGAGGCACGCGCAGGGCAGGAGGCACGTGAGAGGCAGGCTACTCGTGCAGGCAGGCAGTCAAAAGGTAGGCAGGCACACAGAGGCGCACAGAGGCACACACACCCACAGACAGGGCAGGAGGCACGTGAGAGGCAGCGGGGGCGGGGTGGCCACAGGCGCAGCCAAGCGGGCGTGCAGTATGGCGCTGCTGCCGCGGGTCATGGGGAAGCCGAGTGCAGCTGTGCCTGTGGCTCAGCCCTGCCTGCTCCCACTCACTCGCACAGCGCACACGCTGCCGCAACCGCCAGCCCACACAGCCACCACCACCGTCCCCCCGCGCCACCGCTGCCGGCCACGCTCTGCCAGCCTCACGCCGCCAGCCAGGCGCAGCACAGCGCCCCACCTGCAGCATGCTGCGGATGCTTTGCTTGGTCTCGTCAAACTTGAAGCCCGCGCCGCTGCCCCAGCAGCGCTGCAGGCGCTCGCCGCTGTGCTTGGCCCCCAGGTGCAGCCCGCACTTGGCCTGCAGCTCCGCGCCCAGCGAGGCCGGAGGGCCGTCTATGCGCGCCCAAACGCGGGGGGCAGCACGTTGTCCACGACCGTTTTGCGGGCGGAAAGAGGGGGGGGGGGGGGGGGGGACTTATTGTGCATGTGTGTGGGATGTGTGTGGTTGGTGTCGGTGTGTGTGCGATGCAGGTGGTGCACGCATGTGGCGCCCCCGGCCTCCCCCACAGGTCACATCCCACAAGACAAGCCCAGCCGCTGCCCCTGAAGCCTGCCCCGCCTGCGCGTGCGAACGGCGCCAGCCGCCGCCGCCTTGGCCGCCCACCCAGCACGCCACACGCAGCCCCCCAGCACCAGCACCAGCCAGCCCTGCCTGCGCACCTGCATATGAACAGCGCCAGCTGATCCACCACGTCCGGCACATCCAGCTTGAGGTCGTCCATTGCGTCGATGGCCGCCATGAAGCCCTTGCGCACCTGGCTGGGCACAATCACCTGGGCAAAGAGGGGGAGGGGGCGGCAGGGGAGGCGAGTGCGGCGGTGTGGGCGGCGGCAGGGAGGCCAGGGGACGGTGCGTGGCACCAGCAGGCCAGGTGTGGGGTGGGAGGCAGGCGGCGGAGGAGTTGCAGGCGGTGGCAGCCGCGCCGCCGCCGCCGTACCGCTGCCGTACTGCTGCCGTACCGCACCTCGTTGTACAGCGTGGACAGCAGCACGCTCGTCATCTCCCGCTCCCGGTCGTGCTTGTCCAGCGCGGTGGCCAGCGCCCGCTTCACAAAGTAGTGGCCAAACTCGGGGCGGTCCAGCTCCTGCAGGTGGTGGTGGGGGTGGGAGTGGGGGTGGTGGGGTGAGGAGCGGTGGGGCGGGGAGGGCAAGGAGGGTGAGCGCCCCGGTGTGTGGGGTCAGAGGTAGCCACAGGGGGCAGCTACAGGCGGCACCTCGACAATGGGCGACAGGCATGCCTCCACAGCCCACACCCCGGCGGCCTGCGCGCAGCCGGCTGGCCCGCATCCCCGCGCATGCGCCCCGCCGCCGCCTCACTTGCCTGCAGGCTGACCGCGGCCTCATTCAGGTCGCCGCTGTTGTAGTACTCCTCCAGCAGCATGGCCACCTGGCGCAGGGAGGAGAGCGGGGAGGAAAGCAGGGAGGAAAGCGGGCGGCAGGCAAGGTGTGTGTCTATGTGTCACACCAGCGGCGTGCTGGCAACGGCAGGTCGGCAGGGGCGGCAGCCAGGCCGGGCGGAGCCGGGCCACGCCACGCCGGCAGGCGGGGGAGGGGCAGCAGCGGCGGCGGCAGCAGCGGCGGCACCGGCAGCAGCTGCCGGGCAGCTTCCAGCTCACCGCCTTCTTGAACACCGCTATCTGCGTGGTTCGCTCCTCGTGGAACGACACCGTGCGGCTGTCGTCGTTGCCTGCGTCACACGCACGGCAGGGCGCAGGGGAGCGCTCAGCGCGGGCCGGCAGACGCCCCCGGCAGGTCGAAAAAGGTGCGGCGGCGGCGCTGCAAGCGCGGCAGCAGCTGGGGCAGCGGCAGCACGCCGAGCAAGGTTCGCCCGGCACCACGTGCAAGCACTTAAGCATGGCGGCATCAGTGCCGCCGCTACCGCCACCACCACCACCGCCGCCGCCACCACCAGCCAGCCAGCCAGCCAGCCAGCCAGCCAGGCGGCCACCACCGCCACCCACCGCTGTCGTAGTTTGGGTCATTGGGGTCCACAGCCGCCTCGTCGCCGTCGGGCATCAGCTGCGCGCCCCACGTGTACTTGCCGCCCGCGCCGCTCTTCTTGGTGCGGCCAGTGCCTGCGGCAGGGCCAAGGTGCAGCAGAGGAGCAGGGGAGCAGGGTCGGGGCCTGGTGTACGAAGCAGGTGGGGGCGGCGGGCCCGCCGGGCAGGGCAGGAGCCCCGATGAAAGGCGTCGTGGCCGGCATGCAGGCCCGCCTGCAGCAGGCGATCCCGCAGCCCTGCCATCCTGCATGCTCTGGCCGATGCCGCGCCCAGGCGTGCCGGCGCCGCTGCCGGCGCAGCCGCCCACCTTTTCCCTTGCGGTTGAGGTGGTGGTCGTGCTGCAGGTCGCGCTTGGTCTTGATGCCCTCGCTGTGCGGGTTCTTGCCCAGCTGCGGCTTGCTCACCGACTCCTCGCCGCTCGCTGCCACCGAGGGCGGTGCAGCTGCGCAGAGGTGCGGCAACGGGGCATGGCGAGGGGTGCGGCTGGGCTGCCGCGGCGAGAGGCAGCAGGGTGCGCATGGAGGCGCGGCGAGTGTGCTGGCGAGGCGAGGCTGACCCGTGCAAGTGCGGCGCATGGGCGGAGCATTCCGGGCGTGTCCGCAGGCGGTCCAGCGGCGGCCCCAGCGGCGGCCCCAGCGGCGGCCCAGCGCAAGCCCGCCGTGCACCATGCCACCCCCAGCGAGGGCCAGCATCCACTGGGCGCAGGCTGTGCGGCCACTCACGCTGCTCCGCGCGCTTCTTCGAAAGCGCCGCGTCCAGCGCCTCCCGCTGCTCTTGCGTCAGGAAGGACGGCGAGGGGCGCTCCCCTCCCACGTTGCCTGGCTTGCGCATTTCGAGCGTTCTGATGGCGGGGAGGGCCAGTTGAACAGCTTGGGGCACCTACATCGTGGCCCAGCAGAGGGGGTTTGCGGGAGCGGGAGGCCGGGCCTGCAGGGCCCACACCCCGGCCCGGCCCGGCTGGGAGAGCCGGCATCTCGTGTCGGGGCGCACCCGGAGGCTGCCAGGGAGTGTCGGCACGCGCTGGCAACCCCAACCCAGAGGAGCCTGCCGCCCAGTGCCTTGCGGGACCCACCTGGCACGCCCTGCTCCACCCAGCAGCCCCTGCTCGACTGCTGCTGCTTGATGCGGTCCCCTGGTTGCGGTCTTGCGAATGGGCGATGGGTCTGCGGTCACGGCGGTGTGGTGGGACTGTGGGCTGATGGGCGATCCAATCAATGCATGCCGCGATTGCGCTCCCCAACGCTCCATCCCTCCAGGGCATGAGCTGACTGGACTAGACACCTGGCGGTCTTTCGCAGAGCGGGAGTGCGCTATTGCCCAGTTCCCGTTCCAGTCAAAGCCTGGATCGCCTGTAGCCGCCTGTGGCACTCGCAAGACACGCGATCGACCACCTGCTTTGACTTGCACGACCGCTGCTTCTTTATGACGGCCTGCTAGACACGCGCAGCCGGGGCGTAGTCAGCCAGCAGCGCCGCAGGCGAGGAGGGCGCGGTTGCGGCGCAATGGTGCGTGGTGGGGCGCTGAGCGACTGCAGGCAGGCGCAGCGGGTGCAGGGCACGTGTCCCACCCGCTTGGAGCTCACCAGGCAGCCGGGGGCGCCGTGTGGGCGTCAAGCCGCAGCCACCCGCCGCTGCCGCCGCCACCCGCCTTGCACCCCACAGCCTCACGTGCCTCCTCCCCTGCAGATCCGCTTCGTGCTGCTGCTCAGCCGCCAGGGCAAGGTGCGGCTGGCCAAGTGGTACACCACGCTGAGCCAGAAGGAGCGGGGCAAGATCACCAAGGAGGTGTCCAACGTGGTGCTCGCCCGCCCCGCCAAGCTGTGCAACTTTGTGGACTGGAAGGTGGGCCTTCTGAGGGGGAGTGCGGCGCTGGGTTGGGTGCCACATAATGGATCAGCGAAGGGGGATCCATGGCGAGGGGGAAGAGCCTCGCCATGCAGACGCGGCAGAAACGCCGACGCCTCGCCATCCGCTGCGCGCGCGTCCGCTGCTGCCTGGGCTGAGTTTGCTGTGCGTCTGCTGTGTGCCTTGCTCCCCCTCCCGGTCTCCCGCCAGGACCAGAAGATTGTGTACAAGCGGTACGCCTCCCTGTACTTCATCGCCGGCATTGACCAGGGTGAGCACCCGCGGGGCGGTGGGATGTGTGTTGGCCGCTGCAAAGGCAGCTGGCTGCCGACTTGGTCCAGGTGTTGTGAGGTGGCCCCACCTGCCGCAGCCAGGCCATGCTGCTCCTGCTGTTGCCGCTGCCGTGCTTCAGCTGCCGCATGGGAGGGGCGCTGCTGGCTGGCTGCTGCGCTGCCGTGCTGGCGCTGGCCCAGGCCCGCCACCCAACACACAAGCCACTCTCCCACCGACGCACGCCCACCCACCCACGCAGACGACAACGAGCTGCTGACGCTGGAGGTGATCCACCAGTTTGTGGAGGTGCTGGACAAGTACTTTGGCAACGTGTGCGAGCTGGACCTCATCTTCAACTTCCACAAGGTGCCCGGCTGGGGGGCGGCGAGGGGGCGGTGCTGCCTGGGGGGCGGCCCCCACAAGCTGCAGCCTTGCCTGCACCTGCAGCTGCACCTCCAACTCGACTCGTCCTGCCCCCCTGCTCCTCACCCTTTCCCTTCTTCCTTGCACTCCCTCTCCCCGCCACCAGGCCTACTTCATCCTGGACGAGCTGCTGCTGGCGGGGGAGCTGCAGGAGACGAGCAAGAAGGCGGTGAGCCGCGTGATAGAGGCGCAGGACCAGCTCGTGGAGCAGGTCAAGGCGGGGAGCGTGAGCGAGACGGAGTTCACATCCTTCAGCGGGCCGCGCGGATAGGATAGGATGGAAGGAGCTGGGGGAGCAGATGCAGGACATAATGTTGCGCCTCATCTGAGGATGGCCCGGCTGGCGACAGCCGCGACAGGCGATGGCTGTAGGCCCGGTCCCCTCTCTTCATCGCCCATTGAGAGCACGTAGCCGAGTGTACAAACCTATCGTTCTGTGTATTCTACTGATTGACAGGCCCTGCAGCTTCTGCACCATCAATCTGAACCTTGTTCAAATTAAACTGCTGGGTCGCCGCGGAAGCTGGATGACACTGTGCCTGCTGGCCAGCCTGGGGGGCGACCACCCCGCTGTTCTGCTGCGCTCTGTTCTGCCTTCACCGGCCTTGCACGATTCAGGGGCAGTGATGCAGAAGAAAGTAGCCTTAGGGTTGGTTTTGGTGGTGGTGGCAGGTGAGAGCTGGGCAAGTTTGTTTGCAGGGCGGGCCAGCTGGCTCCCCTGACTCACTCCTGCCCACGCTCCTAGGCAGGCCTGGTGGCTGGCCAGGCGCCACCGGCGCCATCACCGGAGCAGCAGCCGTGCCCCGGCGGCGCCCAGTACACCGCCGCCGACTGCCCCAACGGCTCCTGCTACGCCAGCCAGCCCAATGGCTGCGGCAGCCGCTCCGCCGCCGCCATCAGCGCTGAGATTGCTGGACGACTGGCCCGCAGGCGAGGCTCCGCAGAGCTTAGGGGAGGGCTGTAGATGTGCCCATCTACAATCTTCATGCCGCTGGATGAGCTGCCTGGCAGCCTTGCAACGCCTGGCAGCCTCGGGATGCATGTGCCTGAGCAGAGCAGGGCAAGGCAGCAATGGCTGATGGGGGGAGACGTCCGCCTGCCCGCTTCCGCCTTGGCGCAGGCGTGGACTTCACCGCCGCCTGCGACCAGCACGACTTGTGCTACCGTGTCGTTGGGGCGGACAAGGGCGCCTGCGACAAAGCGTTCCTGGATGCGCTGCTTGCAGAGTGCGACCGGGCGCTCAGGTGAGGGCTTGGCATGGCGCGCCACAACCCGCCGCGGCTGGCATGCAGGCATGCTGCCCTCCCCTCCCGGGCAGTCCAGCGCAGCCCCGGCTGGGGCGCTCGCCATCACGCGCGTGCGTCGCTGTGCAGGTGTGTGGCCGCCGACGTTCCCATCCCGGGAGACGTTCTGTGCGGGGAAGGCGGCGGCGGCGGCAACCCGCTGCGGGGCGCCTGCGCCAGCCTGGCCCAGCTGTATTTCGAGGGCGTGGACAGGCTGGCCGGCGATGCGTTCCAAATCGACCAGGAGGAGCAGAAGCAGCATGTGGCGCAGTGCCAGGCGGGTGCGCGGTGAGCGGCGGCGGCAGCGCGGGGAGCGACTCGTGCAGCGTAGCAAGCAGCAAGCAGCTGCAGCCGGCTTTTTGTTTTCCCTGGACGGCTTGCCGAGCATGCACCTGATTTCGTCGGCTTTCGCACCAACTGTCGTTCACAGCACCACAAGCAGGGCCATCTGCCAACGTGTCACGCCACGGCCACTCCCGCCACCAGAGGCACCGCACCGTCGCCGCCGCCGGGGCTGGCGCTGCCGGGGCAGGCGACTCGGCACGCGCCAGGGCTGAGCCCCGCCGCCTCACCGCCGCCGCCCAGCTCCTGCCGCGCCACTGCCCGCTGCGCCGCCGCCGCTGCCGCCTTGTGCTGCGTCGCGGCCACCGCGGCTGGCGGTTCTGTGGGCTTGAAGGGCCTGAAGGCTGCCGGGAAGGGCTTGGGCACGCCCAGCTCTTCCGGGATGTAGGCCTGGGGCCGGGGCGAGGCGCAGGAGCGCACCGCCCCCAGCAGGCCGGCCGCCTTGAGCTGGCGCAGCTCGGCGGCCTGCGCCCGCACCTCCGCCTCCTCCGCACGGTCCCGCTCCATACGCTCAAATTCCTGCATCGGGGGGATGAGGGCAGCACAGCACAGCAGGCACATTGTGTCAGCGACGGTCGTGGGATGGGAGCTTCAGGCACGCAGCGCGGTGCTGCTGGGAGACAGACAGGCAGCCTGCGCGGCTGTAAGCAGCACCCGTGCAGCCAAGGCGGCAGCAAGGCATGCGGCAGGGCGGCGGGCGCCCCCACCTGGTCTGCGCCCGCGGTGGGCGGCCGCCCCGACGCCACGTTGACCTGCGCCGCCGCCAGCTCAGAGCGCAGCGCATCCCTGTCGGCGGCGCACTTGAGGGACAGCGCCTGCGTGTGGCAGAGCAATGGGCAGGCGCACCAGAGGCATGGGGCAGGAGGCGGGGGCGGGGGCCCACTGAAGCAATGCGTGTGGGCATGGGTGCATGCAGGCAGCGGACCTCGCCTGCCTGGCCACTTTGAAACCCTGCCAGCGCCTCCACTCGCACACAGCAGACTACACACACACCCTCACACCACACCACACCAATGCCACACCAACGCCACACCATACACCACCACCCACCCACCCACCCACACGTGCCACACGCACCTGGTACAGCGACAGCTCGCTCACGGCGGCCATCATGCGGCGCGTCAGCTGCTGCTGCCCCCGCCGCGCCTCGTTCATGCGCAGGCCGACGTCCAGCGCGGGGTGGCGCGCCGCGCACGCCTGCTCCACCAGCCCCTCCGTCAGCCGCTCCAGCTCCTCAAGCACAGA